CGAAGCGGTAGAACTCCGCGGGGTCGGCGACCCCCCTTAAGGACGGCGGCATCGGGGGCTTGTACGCGTCCAGGTCGAACAGCTCCCGCAGCTCCCCATCCCGCATCACGCGATCCCGTGCGCAGAACTTGCGGAACTTGCGAAAGGGCCGCGAGCTGGGGGACTGGTAGCGCAGTCGCGTGATAAAGTCCTCCAGCACACACCGATTCCACAGCCCGTAGTCCGCCGCAAGGTCATACTGCAGGGAATGCTGCTGATCCTCCTTGATCTCCCGTGCGTAGTCGAGAAACTCACCAAAGCAAACTCCTTCCGGGCGTAAAAAATACGAAATCCCACTCGCCGGTAAATACCCGCTCGGCCATTGCTTTCTCTGGGATTCCGGAAAGATACGTCTTACCGCCTCCACACTAAGACGTTTAACTTCACGACGAGGCCCCGAACTCGCCGACTTAGAAGCCATTTTTGAAACTTAAAGAAAAAAAAGGGGAAGGGGGGGGGGGGAAAAAATTCTACGATAATACCTTTTTGTTCTACGCTAATGCTTTTTAGTCAAAGAGAAAATAATAAGATGATCCCAAAGAGGCGGGAAAGAGTGCGAAAGAGTGCGCGTTACTCATCCTTCTACTACTCTCTTATTTGCATACCTTTTTTTTAGAAAAAAGAAAGAAAGAGGAGCTATGGATAAGGGAAAAATCATTATTGTTGATTCTTTCATAGCAACGAAGATTTCCACCTCTTCAGGGATAATGATGGAAATCGAAAATACACTAAGTTCACCAGAGATCAATACAGAAATGCCTTGGGACGGGGGAGTAGTGTGAAGTAAATTTAGCTGCAGTTCTTCAAAGGGGATCAATAGCCTATTTTACCTCTCTCTTGTTTTCCTTATGTAGATTTCTATCTCTTTCATTCGGGGTTGTAGAGGCGAGAGTGAAGAGGTGCATTTTTAGCGGAAAAGAGACAGAAGCCGCGCACGGTGCGATCCACGCCGCGTTTGGCAGTTGATGTTTCGTCTGACGTCCTTTTCGAGCGTCGTGTAATTCCGTTATTCTCCGGCACTTTCCTCCTTCTCTCGCCTCCACCAAACCCAACGAAAGCTGCTGATTAATCCACAAAAAAAAGGCGTTGAGCTTGGCTGCGGGGGTGGGGTAGGCCGTCTCGTCCACGCGCCCGCCGATCGCGAAGGTCGCCAGCCCCACGCGCAAAAAGGCCTCCACGAAGGGAATAAACGTCAATGCGCCGCGTTCGCGCAAGGTCGTCTCGTTTATCTCCCCCAACGAGGAAAAAGGAGAAGCAAGAGAACAAGCATCCTCTTCCTCAACAGAATAGGAAAAAGAGGAAAAGTTTCCGCCATCGTGATGGGAACCCCAACCACCACCGGAAGAGGGGCTGCGATCTGCTGTAGGATGCGCCATCAGGCTCTTCGCTCGCCTTGGCGATCTCTGAGGAGTCCTCGAGGAGGGTTTACCATCATAATTCGGTTTTAAAAGTTCTTTTCCTGGCAAAATTAAAGGCTCGCGTAGGGCCTCCGTGAAAGCAAGTGATAATGCCATTTGATTAAGCAGGCAAGGGTAGATATCGACCGCTTTGAAAAGCGATTGAAAGGCAGAGTAGGAAATAACAAAGAGAGAGCGGTCTGAAAGATGCCGCCGTGTTTCTTCCTTTTCCTTCTCTTCCTCTGTAAAAAGCTTCCCAACTTTCCAGAGAAAATCCGCATCAAATGAAGAAGTCGAAGATAATACTGATAACGTGAATGACGTTTTTTTGCTATTGTGGGAGAAGGAATATGCACGTGAGGGTTCCGCGTAGGCGTCGAAAATCTCCCGCAGCGTGCGTTCGTTAGCTTTCAGGAGAAGTAGAACGTCATCCACTTCGGCAAGAGAATTATTATTATTTAACTCTCCTGAACATTTGATCCTGTCCTCCTCTTGTTTATTCTTTACTCTAGGAAGCGAAATGCTTCGGCGCGTGAAGTGAGACTCTTTACCAGACATCAACGATGATGATCTCTCCATTTTGACACCTGTGCGCTCTCTCAGAGAAGAATAATCAGAATCACGATGCCCCCCTCGTACTTTTTTATTTTCTTCCCCATTTTTCTTTTCGGTAAGAGAATTATGCATTTTCCACCGTTTTAGGTAAGCTGAAAAGCCGGGAACCCTTTCCAATACGCGCTCGTACGCATCTGTGTAAGCTGCAACTGCATTCTCTTCACCTATTGAGCTCAAAGAAGGCAATAAATCAAGAAAATTGAAGCCCTCATTTCCTCCCATTTCACCAATTTCAAAAATTTCCTCATGTTGCCAAGACTTACGATCGTCAAAATATCCTTTCAACAAATTTTGCCAACTGTAAAGCAGCAAGATAAGACGTTTAAAAGTTTCGTAGGTAAAGGCTTGACGACTGCAGCGGTGAAATAACTCGACAAAGCATCGCCAATCCTGCGCAGAAATGGAAAAATAACATCCTTCCTCTCTCTTAACAGCTGGAGTAAAGTTTTGATTCGAAAAGACGTTTACATTTTTTTTTTCCCAAAGGACGCTACCCTGCCGCTGCTTTTCGGATATCACACTTTGCGAAGATAAGTTTCTTCGCCTTCTTGCAGATAATTCCCAGTGCAACGGAAGGCCTTTTCGGGATAATTTAACAATCTCCATGAGCTCTTCTAAATATTGCGTATGATAGAGAAAACGCCAGAGTGAAAGCAATGGTATCGAATAGTGGGATAATGCTTTGGGTTCGTAGGAATCAATTCCTCTCTCGTCTGTAGCATAGAGAAGTTCGCGTTCTCCTTGCTTGCGTGCAAAATACTTAAACAGAATAAAGAGCTTCTCAAAGGCACTTGAGGTATCCCTATGATTCGAATTCAGTACTGAGCTTGAAGGTTCCTCTAGAGATTTTTCTCCTGATGACAATTGCTTTCCCTTCTTCATCGTCTCTATTTCTCTCCCTTGAGGCGATAACCTTTTGCCTTTAAAATTCGCGGCGGCGGAAAGTACACAGGATCGAGCTTGTCTATGCCGTAATAGCAACGTGTTAGGTTTTTTTCGCTTGACAGTATCATTATTCCTATTATCTTTCTCATTCTCGCGATTATTAGAATTCTCATCATTTTCTGCGACTTCGTAGAATTTCTGAACAACGCTCATAATTTCTTTCTTCTTTTCCGTTTCCAAACCGGCAAATCGATCATGATAGGAACGGATCTTCGATTTTGATAATGATGGGAGAGCGGCGTTAGGGTTTCCTCCTTGTTCTTTTTCTTTCTTTTCACTCCTATTGTCGTCAGTATTGGTATTATTAAATTGTGTAATAGGAGGGGAAGAGGGTTCTAAAGGTGGAGGGGTTCTTTCAGGAGGCATGATAAAACGGCCGCGGATTGGCGTACTCGGAGTACGGAGTGGGGCAGATACTTCCTCTACCTCATTCGAAAGGTGGCCTTCACGAGAAACCTCCCGAACCGCATCAGCACTATTATTATGATCAGCACCTTTTTCTTTGTCCAATTCAGTGTTTACTGTGAGAAAGACCGAATCTGAAATCACAACACTCTCCCGTTTTGAAAACGGCGCCTCGAAAGGCGTAGGAGCTGAATCCTGGCACGTAGGTAGTGAAGAAGACGAATCACGCGATCGACTCGGGAGCGTTTGATCTTGAATTTCCTGATCTAAAGAAGTGCCGCGATCCGTCGTAGAGGACGTTGAAGACATCTTTATTTCACCTGAATGATCCTCAGACGGCCTCCCAGCCCCCCCTCCCGCCCTTTCAAACGGGAGAAGAGGAGGAATCCAGGGGAGGCCCACGCAGGCCTCAAGTCGAATCAGCCTTTCCGCGCTAACGGCCTCAGATGAGTGAGGCCCGAGTTGCATGAGGGGGATGACCCCGGCAGGGATCCCCCGTGATCGCGCCTCCGTGTTAACGCAGGGGTCGATCCACCCCCCTGTCCACGAAAGCGACGCGACGCACCCGAACGGACCCACATCCCACCCTCCGCCCTGTCCCCCCACCCGACGACGACGACAACCCACCGCATTGGCGTTAAAGAGGGGGGAATCCGTGGGGTCACCAATATTTTGCCACTGACCACCCTCCTCCGTCTCAGAAGAGGCACTCACAGGGCCGGCTGCCCTCTGAGCTCCCCTTGTGACGTCTTCCAGGGGGTGAGGCCCCTCCCCCTCCTCTTCTGTCACAGGAGGACAAGGCCCCTCCTCTTCCTCTTCTGTCACAGGAGGACAAGGCCTCTCCCCTTCCTCTTCTGTCTCAAGGGGGGGACGGCCCTTTCCTGCTTGGGTTGAGTCACCCCGGGAGTGGAAATCCCCCACGCACACCGTCGTTTTCGCGCCTGGGGGGGCTCGCGGGTTAGTTTCCCCAACCCCCTCCTCCTCCTCTTCCTTTTC